ACGATGCAGTGTTATCAATATAATTTTGTTCAAAAGTAATAAGATATGTAAATATAACAAATATACATATTTAAAAATAATTAAATATTTTACTTAAAAACCATTTTTTATGGATGAAATATTGTTTATAGATGTATATTATTTAAAATTCAAGATCACAAATAAATTGAGTATAAGTACAATTTATTAAATCTTCACGTTTGAATTCGTGTAACTAACTGGAGAAAAACATAATCAAATAGAAGATAAACATATCATTTTAAATATAAAAAATCTAAAATATAATTAAGATAATCATTAAGTTCTAACAGATTATTTTCTTTATAAAAAATTATATTACTAAACCCAAAAAATGAATTAAAGAAATATATAGAAAAACAAGAAAATAAATAGTTAGTTTGGTACTAATTTCAATATTTTTTTAAATTTTTTTATAATATCTTCATATTTATATTTTATTTAGAAATAAAAACATTATCGCTTTCTTAAACCACGTAAAACCGTATTATAATATCAACTGAGAAAAAAAAACATTAAAATCAAGATGTATCTTGCTATATTGTACAAGTAACCTTCTAATAGTCTATTAAAATGAGACAATAATATTTTTTTAAAAACGTTTAATTTTCGATAAGAACTGGAAAAAGAAAAAAAAAGGTAGATTCTAACAAACTCTCTTATAGAATAGGTGTACATGTTACAACAATTGTATCTAAAACCATGAAAATGGCATTTTGGTAATTACAACAAGAATGAAGACCATTTCTATCTCTAATGAATTATATAAGTAGCATAAGCCCTCCTCCATTATTCATTCATCTCACCCCACAAAAACAAACCAAGATCCATAAAAACAAAAAATCCCAATTCAAATCAAACCAAACCAAAAATGTCTCTTGTGACAGAAGAAATTAGGGCAAGTGCATCAGAAGTTTACCATGGGGATGCAATTTGTCAAGAAAAGTCAAAGTTCTTGCTCACTGAAATGGGGCTACCCAATGGCCTCTTGCCTTTAGAAGACATTGAGGAATGTGGGTATGTTAAAGACACTGGCTTTGTGTGGCTTAAACAAAAGAAAGAAAAGAAACACAAGTTCGAAAAGATCGGGAAGCTGACGTCGTACGGAACCGAGGTAACTGCAATCATTGAGAAATTCAAGATCAAGAAACTGACCGGCGTTAAAACTAAGGAGCTTTTGATGTGGATCACACTGAATGAGATATCTGTCGACGATCCGCCAACCGGAAAGATCACTTTCAAGGCCACTTCTGGCCTTTACAGATCATTCCCGGTGTCGGCTTTTGAGATCGAGGACGTGAAGAAAGACGTCGGAGCGGTGGATGTGGCCAAGGATGGTCAAGTCAAGGAGGTTTAAGTGTTTTGCACCGACCAACAAGTAATGAAGTTCTTATTTCATATATATATATATATATATATATATATATATATATATAGCAATGAAGTGCTACTCTTTAATCCTAAATTTTACTTCATGATGTGTCATCTCATCAATAATCAAAAATCCAATGCTTCATGAGTTTCATTTTTAAAATAATTTAAGTCTTCCGGTCTTTTTTTATTTAAATCAGTTCTTTTTTATTATTGTATTCGTCTGATCTTGTAATTGAAATGGGTATTTTCTTATCATATAGTTTAAATCTATATACCAAAGAATGATACCATATTTTTGATTTTGGGATACAGGTTTTCATTATTGGTTCGAATCATACCGTCAAGGGTTGTTATAACTCAAATATGCCTCTAGTTTTTTATGTACAGATTAAAAACGAGACCACGAAATCCAATAAACATGATGTCGTAGCAGTGCCTAATACGAAATGTAAAAACTAGAGAAGAGTGACCACTACAATAGTGTTCATCTTTACCAACAAAGAAAAGTTTTCTTGCGACGTATACCTAATAATTATATTCATTTATTTCAAAATCAGTAGCACGTCCTTTTCATCTATGTTTGCCCCCAACATGTTGAAAAGGACGAGTAACCAAATCCTTTAAAACGTAAAACTTCTACGATGTGATAATTACGATCCATTAATGGTCAAATGGATCGATTTGAGTTATATATTATTTCTAATGGTCAAATCAGTTAAATTAAAAATATCAGCTAAAAGAGAGAGAGAAAATCCAATAGTTCAAAATACATAAAACCTTCTAAATTGTTTTACTTTAAAAAATATTGTTATTGTAATAATCTAGTTTTTGTTATCATATTTAATTTTAAAAAAAGTATTTGTGGACCGACCCGTCTCAACATGTACTATAGTTGTACTCGTTTTTTCTAGTTACCCAAGATCAACTGACCCGTCCATTTGCCACCTCGATGGTGCGTTTGGTATGCACACGGGATTGAATAGGACTAGACGAGCAAGAGGGAGTTGGGGGTGAAATTTTTTAGCAAGGTTTGAGGGTTAAAATTATACATGGCTAGTTTAATAATTTATCAATCTTATCTCATCTTCGTGATTTTGTGGACACCTGTCCATCCTGTACTAATCTTAATGTCGCACATAACGTGAAACAACAGGTTTTTGTCCTGTCACATGTACCAAACTCACCCTAAGATCGGGTGAAATACTTTTATATCCTATAGAAATTTGTTTTGGTTTGTCAAGTAAACAAGAACATGATCAATAACAAAAGGTTGCCTTGTGCATATTCTAATTTAAGGTATTTTGTATTGAAGGAGGTGGGTTCAAATTTTGCATTCAACACAGTTATTTATTTTTCACCTTTTAATTTAAGAAGTAAGGAATCGACCAACAAATTTGTAATGTTATAACGAAAAAAATTCTACAATAACTATTTCTAATAGTCAAATGATGTTACGGCTTGGAAAAAAAAATTGGGCCCGCCTTTTGCCAAACCCCAGTTCACTAGCTCGTTAAGATTTTGTCAGGTTCAGGCTCGCCTCATAGCTCGAGTTGAGGTTTTGCTCATCACTAAAAAAAACAAGCTCGTAGTTAGAATTATACATTGATATATTCTTTGGGATAGATGACATATATGCATATCCAGGAAACTTAGGTGATCAGGGAAACACCTTAGTGTCAAAAAATTCTGAAACCGAATAACTCATTTCAACCGAAGCGATTGTGGGTAATTTGATTTTAGCATTGAACGGTTTGGTTAACCGAATAAAAATAACTTACTTGGTTTGGTTAGCATCATATATTTTACAGAAAATAAACACATTATACATTAATATGAAGTTTGAGTAATTCACAATGGATCAGATGACTAAAGAATCAAACCACTAAACCAGTTTGTAATATAATAACATGTGACAACTAGCACTAAACATATTTGTAAAAACACAGCTAAAGATAAATGAGAATGCATAATAATTAATGGATATCAAGAAATCAAAGAGCAAGAGGCCAAAAACTCAAATCCTGATAGAAAAGAAATTGGATAGCAAGAGACTGAAAGATTAGAAATAAAATCAATCCTATCTCAGAGTAACAAACCTTGAATCAATAATAGATCGAGTAACCCTAAATCAAACGATAGTTAACAAATAGAAAACTGATCATGAACAAATAACAACGAATGTAGATAAATGAAAATAGATGGGGCAGGGCACAAGAGGTAAAGAGAGAGAAAGTGTAAGGTAAAATATATTTAGTGTTTTTTTTTTTCGTTTAGTTTCGACGGAGAAAACTTGCGTTAGGAGAAAGAAAGTAAATAGGAGATTTATAAGTCGTTCAAGATGATCCTAACTTCATTCAATGTCTTGTATTTATGTTGAATGATTATAATACGATATGTAATAATCACGCTTGTGGCATGATATAGCACACGCCAGAGACGTTGCATGTGTCATGGGTGTGATCTTTGGCAAAGTTAAATATATAATGTTTATATACGGCAAATACTCACTCGTATTTCTTACTTTTGATGAGATTTGAACCCTTAGCTTTTTTGGAGGTTGAACTCTACCGTGATCAGAATACCATTTTGGCCTATGACTCTTTGATTTGTTGTCTTGTGTTTTAAAATCTAAGACGTGGTCCGATCTAGATCATATGTGGTTTAGTCATTTTCTCTAAATATATGCATTAATTTAATTATTAAAAAAATATATACATAATTATTTACATGGTTTGCGTAATGAAAAAAATATAAAAACACGACTGTTTTTTTTTATATTTGGTCCTTAGCATCTCTGATGTAAGTTTGTTACCTTTTAAAAGAAATTTTAGAAATTGTAGCATTGGAGTTTACGGGGTTTTTCTAATACAAATGGTTGGTATATTAGGTATTTAGTTAGTAATAACAGATTAATTAGAGAAATCACAAAGGATATTGTAAAACTCTTTTCATTTTATGTTCTTAATTTGAATTCATATCATTTTTTGATGGTTTCCCACTATTGAAGTTGGTAAATGCATATCTCTTGCTGCAAAGAACCTCGATCAGACTAGTGGGCAACCATAGTTTACTTGGGAGTTGAGAATGATTCTGTTGATGAACCGGGAGGGACAAAGAGGCTTACAAATCAAAAGAAAAAGAATAGGGATGGTGCTTCCAAGAGGAACAAAGACTTGTTGTGGCCACAACTTCAATGGGTCAATTGCAGTGGAAATCAATGGGTTTGCCCGAATTACGATGCTCTATAATTGTGTTCTTAAAGATGATGAGAGAGGAAGAATGGGGAAGGGGTGGGTGGGATGACTTAATTGGTTGTACACATGTTCTATACATTAGATTGCATTTGGTACATGAGGCTAGACTGGATAGGATATGACAAAGCAAAACTCGTTGTTTGTGACATAGGACATGACATAAACACATTGTTCTATGTTTGGCACGACATAGGACAAAGCAATGAAGGGGACTTGGTGGGACTGGATGCGACAAAAGAGACTTATGTTAAGTAATATTGATTTTCAAAAAATGTACTTGTTAAAAAAGAGAGTGAATTACATGTTTGGTCTTGTGGTTTACGTAAAATGAAATAATTATGAGAAAAGGGTATTGTGGTTTATTTTTTTCACGCATAACCCACATGTTCAAGGATCGAAACTTGGCTCTGATATCATAATTGTAACACTGTGGTTATAAAACGTCTAATTAACTCATAATCACCAAAAAATTTAATTTTAAACCTCAAAACATACGGGATACAAACTTTAGTTTAAAACCACCAAAAATGATCAAACGGTTTGACCAGGGGCGGATGTTCCTTGTAAAAGGTGGGGGGAAAGGCCCCCACTAAAAAATTTAAAAAAATGAAATTTCTAAGGGTAAAAGTTGTTTTTTTTTACTTTTTACCATGGTTTTCATCCGTAATTTCTTGTTAGGCCCCCACCAACTAAATAAAGTATTTTGAAATCAACCAAAAAACTGAAAAGTTCCTCGAAATTGATAAAAAAAACTCTTAAAAATCCCTTGAAATAATCCAAAAAACTTCAAAAATCTCTTGGAATGATGGAATAAGGCTAAAAACACATCGGACGACTTTGTGGGCGTTTAAGCTACCTTAAAGGTGCCCCCACTAGACCAAAATCCTGGATCCACCACTGGGTTTGACCCAATAAAGTCAACCACAACCAAAATTATTAATTATCCACAAAAGAAATGAACTTAAACCAACCGAGACATGATATAACTACCCGGAATGATTTATATATATATATATATATATATATATATATATACATGCCAAAATATTACAAAAAAAAAGAACATCAGAAATCATGTACCAAAAACTAGATCAAGTTTTTCAACTTTAACCGAATTAATTATTTTACCGGATATTTTCTCTTGTCTAATTCTTTTCCTAAAAAAGAGATATGTTGGAGAATTCGGATTAAGCACGGAGCTTAGTGAATTATATGAACTAAACAAAGAATATTAGCATTACGTATACTATATATATATATATACACACACACACACACGGTAAGAGAACGAACCAAAGACATAATGTAATAAATCAACAATAACGATTCCAATGATCAATTTGTGATAATTCTATCTTATCAAAAATGTCATACCGTAAACACGTTCCAAAACATTAGTCACATCATACATAATCACCCCTCGCAAGAGTTTCATAGAGATAAATTATAACAATTTTATCAACATATCATAGATTTACAATACATCAAACATAATGTATAGGACCCACAATTATCATCCGGGTAGTTAGTCCATGTCCCTAACTATGTTGTCTAAGAGTAGTATGTATATATCTGTTACCAAGCCCTCCCCAAACCCCCACCAAAACGATCTACATCCCTTTGTCGGCAACACAAGTGCCACACCCCACCGGTATGGCACAACACATGTGTTCCTCGTCTCTTCTCTAATAAACCGGTAAAACCCCTCCCAATATCTATCGACCCTTAGTCTCCATTTTCATCGTCTGCCCTTCTTTTGTTACGGATGTATAATCGATCATTCATCTCCATATCACAATATATCATATTTCAATCACATTAGTTATTATTTAATATCTTTAATCATAACACCTCTTAATATTACTTTTAAAAATTGAAATTTATTTTATAACAAAATAAAATAAAAATACATAGAATAATAATTAATAAATGATTTTACATTGAAAAAGTAAGAGCGATGATGATGGCCATTGCCATCGGAATGGCGTGGGTTCTCATCCGATCGGAATCCTTTGCCGGCGTTAACGGTTTGGATGATGACGTGGGTGACCTTGGAACGCAAAATCCCCACTTTTGTCTCTTATCTCTGCTTCCTCCATTCGGCCATTTCTATGCTCCTTGTTCTCGTCTAATCACTTTGATAGCAACTTCTTCTCTTCTGCCCACGATTTTGCATTTCCTCTTTCAAATCAATAATGGAATAAATGACGATTATTCGAGTCAAATTATTTTGTAGTAGGTCTCACTTTTTGTCGGCCAGTACTTTATCGCATTTTATAAAGACTCCATTGGAGCAGCTCGTAATTGAAACTTCGATTTTTCATCCAAGGGGATTTCTGATCCGATATAATCAATTATTGGGCTTAAGTTTGTCAAACTAAAAAAACCAGGCATCGAATAAGAATAAATCGAGGAGATTCTTTTGAGAGAGTTTAGGAATTTTGTCTGGAGCATTTCGTCGAATGGCTGGTACGATTCCCGGAGTGGAAACCGCTCGGAGGAGGAGGTTCCGTGGGAGTAATGGGTGGTCTGATAATTCGTTTCTCGTCAATTCTGCTTTTGGGTCTACGAGGAGACTTTCTTACGATACCCATCTCAATTCCACTTCGTTCTTGGTAAAAATTAACACAATTTACAGTTACATTGATCTATGTTGTGTTTGATCTGATTATTCTATCAACTGACTGGTTTAAAATGTTTGAGAAGCAGCATAGAAGCATGGTGAGCCAATCAGATGAGGATGGGAAGCTGGGTGGTGTGGCCAGAAAAGCCAAACAAAGATTGGAGGGGAGGCTCAGAGGTTACTGGAAATCAGAAACCAACAGGTACTAATCTCAAATTGTGCAGTGCGCATGTTAGCATAATCAAGCCATCCCTTGCTAGCCTGAGCCGGTTACATCCTCAATACCGTTAAAAAGTGGTATTCTTTGATTACCGTTCTCTATTTTTTTTCTGAATTGGGTTTCCATCTTCATAACTGATTTTGAATCCTAAATAGGTAGCAACTACTAATCTCAATTGTTCAAGGAGCATGTTAGCAAAACAACTCATCCTTTGCTAACATGCACCGGTGACATCCTCAATAGGACACAAAGTTGTCATCTTTGATTACCAATTTCCATTTTCTGACATGGGTTTCCATCTTTATGACTGATTTTGTATCCTAAATAGCCAAGAAAGGTTGAGGGGTGCAAATCTTGTAGAAGAGATTGGGAGAAAGCCAACTACTACTTCTATGGTGGTGGGAGATTTGCAAATGGAGGTTTTTGGTTTGAAAAAGAATGGTTCAAAGAGGTTTCATTGGGGGAAAATGGGGTTGAATTGGAAATCATTGGATCAAGACGAGTGTGTCGTTTGTTTGGATAAATTCAAGATTGGCGAGAAGCTAGCTCGTTTGCCTTGCGCACATCGATTTCATTCTATGTGTTTGTTACCGTGGTTAGAGAGTCATGCACATTGCCCTTGTTGTAGAACAAACGTTTTGGGTTCTAATTGATCTGTTTGTGTTATTTTAAATCCTGTGGTCCAATCTAGTTTTAGTAATAATCTTGTAACGTTTGTGACTAAGTTGTATTTCATGTTAACACTGATAAGAGTGTTTAAAGGTAAAAGAATGTAATCAAGAAAAACCATTATCGACTAGTTTTACATGACAGTTTATGTAAAAATATTTTGTTATCTGATAATTTTGTTCAAAACCCAACTTAATACAAGTATCATGATAGAAATTCAGAGACAGTGAATGATTAAATTTAAATGAGTAACGTTCTAACAAGGATGAATGTGGTCAAAAATAGATAATGAATAAGAAATATTAATTCGTTTTGAGTCAATTTGAACAATTAGAAGTTGACTCCATTTTAAATGCAGTCCTTAGAGTGAAACACCCGTGCGAGCGGCAGCAAAAAAATTTTCTCTTCCACAATGGAATTTGATAAGTGAGATTTCGATGCTAACTATGGATATGCTTCAAAGAAGAATTGTAGTTTTTTTAATGTACAAAATATTATTATTATTACTACCATTATTGTTAGGGTAAATTAGAAAATTTTGTCCTTGTGGTTTTATGAAAGTTATAGATCAGATCCCTTAGTTAAAATAATTATAAACAGTGACGGATCCAAGATCTTTGTCGAATGGTGTATGGTGGATCAAAGGCCCACAAAGTCACCTTATATGATTTTAGCCAAATTCCACCATTTCGAGGAATTTTTTAAGTTCTTTGGTTGATTTCGAGAGACTTTCGATTTTTTGGTTGATTTGGAGCAATCATCTGGGGTTTTTTGGTTAATAATCCTTGTATTATTTAATATCTGGTAGCATCCTTCAAAGTTTAGCAGGTGCAACTCTCATGCTCAAAAAAATTCTAATTGTAAAAATAAGTTGCACAAGTGCAATTGCATGGACCCTGCTCAAGACTTCATAGGTCCCACCCTGATTACGAGGATCGTTATCGTAATTTGTATTTTATTATACATCAGGATTTAGGTACGACCTACTAATTTCGTTTAAAATATTGTTAATTCAAGGGCATTTTGGATCATTCTACATTTTTTTTCTATATCTATTAAGTATATTATATATACGTATGTGTGTGTGTGTGTATATATACACACACAATTGTAAATCGTTTGCTAGTGGGCTAGTGATAGCTGTGGTCGATGGTGGCTACGGAGGGAGGCCGAAAATGGCTAGAAGCTATGAGCAATGGCAATGTAAAGTGTCGGCCAACGGTGGAAGGTAGAGGGTGGAGATGGCATAGGGAAGAGGGGAGACACTGCAACACGGAATTGGGTTTTTAAAAAGATTTTTATATAATGAATAAAAAGACTAAAATATCATTCATTTAATATAACTTTTTCGATGGAGTTAGAAAAAAGGCTCATAATTAGTAATAATATGCAAGTCATAATGTTTGTTCGGTTGTGGCTTAATGGACTAAATAGATTGTATGGTTGATTTGATAAGCCATACAAACTCGTTCAGTTGTGGTGTAATGCTTCAAGCAAAGGCTTATTCGATCAGCCTAAAAACTAGATTCCTCCAGATTCAGTCAGAAATTTTTCAAAACCACTCTTTTTGTTGTCCGCTTTGTTTCTGTCATAAAAGAAGATCGAGTCGAAAAACTAGAGATTGGTCTCTCACCAATCTTCCAAGAATGTCCTCGTCCTTTCATCTACTCCAGCCTCTAATAGCATCTTTCCCCTTCAATCGTCACTTCCCCTTTTATTTTCTTTCTGTTTGAAGCTAACAAATCGTGAATCAGAGGAAAAAAAATAAAACCCCTTAAATATTTTGTTGGAATTTCTTAAAATCATTGAATATTCATACGAAAAAACAAGAAAACTATGGGTGCGTAGTTGGGGAAATGACAAATGACAATATTGTTTGTTGTTTACGGGATAATAGACATGACCTAACCCAACCAACACGTTTGGATTGTGGTGGGTTGTACATTCATTTGGGCTGAGTTATTCGAATGCTTTTAAATCGGTCAACTCAACCTGTCTTCACTCGTACTTTTAACATTCGTTAAGGATAAAAACAAATAAGCAGACTGAAACAATGGGAGTCGGTGTAATTTTGAACAAATTAAATTTAACCGACTCCTACTTTTTACGATATAAATACAAACACCTTTTCAAATAAACAATCTTTTTCAAGTGTTTAGTACATGATTTATGTAGAATTATTAGATCTATAAATCATTTTGTTTAAATATTAATTAAAAGTTTTGCTTTATGATTTCAAAATTATCACCAAGATATGTAAAGTGGAGATTAGATTTTTGATAAGAATGAAAACCAATCAAACAAGAGCACTAGCTTTCATAAAACAAGCCTTTTTCTCCCACTAAAAATAATGTATTAAATGTTAGATTGACAATTAATTTTTTAAATTTTAAATGTATGATTATTTAAATTCTATAAAATAATTAATAATCAATTGATAAACATATTTAAATATAATTTTTAATTTATATTAATATTGTATTTTTTATCCAAGCAAAAGAAAATATATTATTAATATTGTTTTCTGTAAAAAAATATTTTATTATTGTAAACTAAAATAAATTATATTTTATTTTTTAATCTAAATTATTTAAATTATAATGAAAATTTGAATTAAATTAATAATACCAAAAAATGAAAATTTGAATAATCTTTAATTTGACATTAATATTGATAATAAAAAATAGGGTTTTTTAATAGATAATTAAATTAACAAGACATGTACAACCATTATTTATAATTTCTATTTTATTGAAACATAAATTTTGGATTTTTCTTTTTATTGAGAAATTGTATTAATTTTCCACTCTTGATTTACAATAAAGTATTTCATTCATTGAATAGCTAGTGTACACAACTAATATTATTTTATTTGATTTATTATTACATATATATATATATATATATAATTGTTTTTCATAAAGTTTGAGATGATAAAGCATTCTAAGACGATAGACAACAGTTACGTAATTAAATAATCAAGGGAGGATTGAAACGTACGTCGTCTGTTTAGTAAAATGACAGAGGTCATGGTGCGATTGTGGGGTTTTGTACTAGATAATGGACAACGTCATTTTTCCTCATTTTGATTTTTTCGGGAGGAAGAGAATGACTTGTACCCTCTTATCCATCCCTTCGAACAAGACAAGGGCCTTCACGTCTTGGATGGTTGTGGTCTCACATGCAGCGTTGTGTTTACTTTTCGATTACAATCTTTGTATATATTTGTGTCCATACACGCCGTCCACATGATTCCAAGTCTCTCTCTCTCTCTCTCTCTCTCTCTATATATATATATATATGGTTAGATTCACGTGAGACCAAGAGTTTTTCGTGAGACCCGTAAGACCAATTTATGTTCATTGATCAACTTTATAAGCTAATAATTTAACGGTCTAAAGTTGCATGGTGACAATTTTGTGATTATTGAGAAGTCTCATGGCAATTTTATGATTATGAATGTTCAGATTGTAGATCTAATACAAGGGTTGAAAATTGGTCTTACGGGTCTCAAGAAAAACCATTGGTCTCACATGATCCTAAGTCTCTCTCCTCCCCCCACTCTCTCTCTCTCTCTCTGTATATATATATATATATATATATATATATAAAGATATAGAGAGAGAATACAACATTTGTGTTATGGTTTTAATCAGTGTCAATATTATCGATGTCGAAATGGATATCTTTGGGTATTGCTTTTTGCTACTTGAACAATCAGATAAGTTGTCAAACATAAATCGATTTGTTTGTTCGTTAAGAAATTTTTTTTTATCTCTACAATAAAATTATTTTATAGGACGCTTAAAATACAGTGTTTTGAAAAATAATTTATATGACTTAAGTTTATAGGACCAAACCAAAAAGTGTCATACCTAAAAGTGTTACAATAAGTTTACAAGATACTTTTAGGCATTTTAACTAGTTTTTATGACGCTTTTAAAATAAACTTGTTAAAATACATAAAAATCATTCTATAAATCTATTGTAATGCTTTTAGATAGGACGTTTTATAATTTGGTCATATAAAATAAGTTTTATAAAATATTCTATTAGAACGTTTAGACAATCTTGACATCCTTTAAAAAACCAAATTTATTATAGTGTATATTTGTCCTATTTTGTTTTAATAAATTCAATAAGAAATTAAATATATAGCTTGATTAAGAAAAAACAAGTTATTAATAAATCAATTTGAATTTCTACTTTACAAGGCTAAAAATTGTTAAATATGGCCCTATTTCAATGGTTACAACTTAGTGATAGCCAAACCAGCCTGGTCCAGCTCGGGACTGTCAGTTACATCCGGTTATGGTTTTTGTCGGATTTGTGGGACCGGGACCGGCCAAGGACCGGTTATGGCCCAGCCTGAAATATTAAAAAAAATGACCGTTTTTTTTAAATATAGCCTTTAACTAGTCGTTTTTTTTTTTTTGTTTTTTTTTTTTTTGGCTTCTAAGCACTATAAATATGAAACAAGCTTGAGAGATTTACATACCAAGTTCTCAATTTGTAAAAAACGCAAAAAAAAACATTCACAATTCTCGTAATAAAACGTATTTTTAAAGTGTATTTGAGTGACTCGTACGACAAATTTAATAATATATTAAAAATATATATATCATTAAAAAATTAAAAATAATAATTTTTTAAGGGTGCGACCGGGACCGGCCCATAACCGGTTATAAACTAGCTTGACCGGTCTTCTTCTATTCGACCGGGACCGGTTATAGCTGGTTATGAAAAATCTTGGGATCAGGCCGGGACCGATTTTTGGCCATCACTAATTACAACCATCCACCATGGGCCAATCTAATGAAAAACAAAACAACTTTAGATTCTAGATCTCGATTTATGTTGTACATATGGTTTTGTTCGCACGAGATATCATGTCGAGAAACATGTTGCGGCCTTGTTCGCTCCACACATCGTGTACTAGGATTGGTCCATCTTGAAAATAAGGTTGTCTCGTTGTCCGAACATAGGATAGAAAAGTGTCATTGGAAATGAACCAAACGCAATTCTTCTAGAAGGGTACAATAATCAGTACTAGATATCACCAAGTACGAAAAAAATGGCATGATAATAATACCCAATTTGTTTCACACAGAGGTAATTTATGAAACATGAAGAGGTTTGGTCAACACATTAGTGGAGCCATACATTTTTAA